GAATGAGCCCGTGCTTTTTTGTGGTTGTTTGTGGTGGGGGGGGGGGGGCATATGCTGAATATGAAATATTTACTAAAAAAGCATGCATAGCTGGATATAACCAGTTACATATTTTCTTGAGGAAAACTCCATTTGTGAATGGCTATTTCCTAGGTAAACAAAGCATATCAGTACATAATTGCTCACACTATTTGAATGAAATTATTCAAATATATTTTAAAATTGCATGGGCTGTATTAAATAGTACTGAATTAACAGCCTGCTCCCCCACCCCCACATCTCAGAATGTTACACACTTGATAAAATACAATATATGGCCTCAAAAGTTTAAAGATTTATTCCTCACCTTGCTTACTCTGCAGGTCTTTCAGTCTGGAGCAAAGCTCCTCCACTAACGTTTCAATCCCAGAGCTCTGCACAACAACAAAACCACCGGAGGAGTGGGGGGGTAAGAAAAGAAGAAAAAAGAAAATAAACTTATTAAAAATAATATTCATTTTATAGACAGACATCAATACAGTAAACATCTTAGCAGACATGTATTATTCTTTTTGCGTGGTAACTACACAATAAAAAACAACAAAAATTATTATTAGGTATAAATCCATTCCTACAAATACATTAATTAGAGGTCAAAATGATTCCACAAACATAGATACATTCACACCGAGGTTTCAAACTCCAAGTCACAAGCATTATTGTACATCCAAGGTTTTGCAAACTGCACACCGTTACATTTACTGCACTGTATCACTTTGGATTTATCCAAGAGTCTCAGGATAAAAGTTCAAGAATCAACAGATCTCCAAGATGCATTTTAAAAAGCTAAGCCTGACCCTGTTGGTTGCACAGTTTATACCTGTGAGAAAGGGACTGGTAAAAGGATACAGAAAATCAGAAGTGAAGGGGAAAAGGAGAAGAGTATGAAGATATATATGTATAGGTGGCAGACAGGGAGAGGAAAGGCTTCCACTGTATCTTCATGCAGAACTTATCCCATAGTTTTGCCAGTGTAAAATGCCCAGTTTTTTTCTTTTTAGACATTGTGTTACTTGCTCAGGAAAGCAGAGGGGAAAAATAAACACCTTATCTTCCCTATAAGCCTCTATTTTCCTCCTTTATTCCTCCACATAAACCTTCCATACACTCAAGCTTCCTTTTAAATCCCATTTCAATATTATTCTCACATGCTTCTGCTTTTACAGTCTGCCTAGAATTGCAAGCAATTCTAGATAAAGCAACAGCACCAGAACTGCAAAATACTGAGAAATAAACACACACACAAGCCGGTACAAAATACTACCAACTGTCCCACAGGAGAAACCCCTGTGCTATTCTAACAGAATAAAAGTTGAATTCTAGTTGCCAAAATACTAAATACCAACTTACAGCCTGATATGACCATTCCTGTTGGAAGGAAAACGAGGTGAGGTGGGTACTGCGTAGGTATTCCTGTTCTTAGTACTTTGACGCTCAGGGCTCATGTTTGGAGATTATACTTTGCCCTTTCCATAACCGCAAGCAGAAGGCTGGAATCACTGCTAAACACAGCAACTCAAAACAAGTGAGTAGGATGCAGAAAGTCCCCTGCACATTTCCATACAGCTGAGAATGGTGACAAGGAAGAACTGTGCAGCTTCTTGTATCCTATATATTATATATATTTCCTCAGTAACAACTCCAGCATCTTGTCCCCATCATACTTAGAGATTTTGAGACTTCCACAAACCTCCTACAAAACGATGTCACCTTCTGAATTTCACATGCTCTGGTGTGCATATAGTCATGGAACACACATTCTCTCCAAAGGTAACGCAGATGAAATATCGAGTTACGGAAATGCATAAAAAAGAGTTGGATTTGCTGTGTCACTGTGGTGGTATAAAGATTTCACTTTCTAAGATCTAAAAGTTTCTCCTCTCTCGTGATTACTGGCTAGAAATTGCTGAGAAATGTGAATATATGTTGCTAAAGCACAAGAAAATATCACGGAAAAAGGAATACTAATTTATACAGTGAAACTAGCTTGTTTAATTCTCTGTTAGAAACACACACTTGAAAAACCATATACTGAAGCAATGACTTATAAGCTAACTTCTAAATTTTAATTATTTGCAGTTGAGAAAGCAATTTTCTATTCCTAACTGCATTGCTGCATTGAAGTGCTAAATATAAACCTTTATGCCACATACTTAACTGAGGATGACTTAGCAATATTAAATTTTAGAAGGCATCTTCTGTATCAGTAAATTTACCGACATAAATTGTTCAGAAAGAACCAAGCAGCACAGTAATATGGACAAGCCTATGTAGTTGTAATAATCGTCACTTTATGCTTATACCCCTCCTGACTCCCCCCTCCTCCCCCCAAAAGGGCAACAGAGGAGGAGCTGGCCTTGTTTTTGCTCAGCTCTCTGAACCGTCTAATCCAGCAGACACCTGTAGCAAATACTCAAAAATCTAAGGAATATAGATTTGCTTCATTAACATAATTAGAACATCATGTCAAAAAAAAAAATCCCCCAAACCAGCAACAATATGCTCACCATTACACCGAAGAAGTGAAAACTTTTGGAATCAAATGCTTCATTTCCTCCTGTACCATGAAACTAATACTTGAGTCAGCTGACAGGCTGCACGCTGTCCTGCATAGCTCACTGATGTAGCTAGCGCAAGCTTTTTAAAAAAAAAAAAAAAAAAAGAGAGAGAGAGAAAAAAAAGGGAGGGAAACCACTGTGCAGAATGCCAAGTCTCTAGAGACCACTTGCTCAGCCTCTTACTGCAGTATATAAAAACAAGCTGCAGACTTAATGTAATGTAACCAATACGTCAGCAATTAATTCGTATATGGCAGAGTTGTTCTCCGCAGATGAGATTTAGTTACTGTATTTTTTCATTCTTTAAGTTAATGCATTGTAGTTGCAGTAACCCCATTGCCAGAAAGGAAGATATTCCCAGCACCGACTTGGTTCGACAGGACCCAATCAGTTAACAATATGTGGTGATCTGCCTGAACTGCTTTGCTAAACACAGTCCCCAAACAGTACAAATACTGGAGTGCCTTAAAAACATTTTGCAACCTGGAAGTGCCTAATTATGATTACTTTTGTAATTCCAACATGAAAGGCTTAAATTCATGATTTATCTGTAAGATTATTTAAACTACTGACCCAGATTTCTACTAACCCTTTTCTCTCATTCAAACTACAAAGAGCAGCATGTCATGTTTTTAATTCATATTTTTCATTTTGCACAACAAAACTTCCTCCACACCAAACAATTTTTATTCTCTTCTACCGCTTCCAATCTATTTCTATTTCCTTCCCCTGCTTTAATTTACATACAGTTCATCAAAAGTTGTTCTTTTTGGCTTTTCATCAGCTGGCTGAAGCAAGGGCAGGATGACATAAAGGACAGGTGTTATGTTACTGGCATAGGAGTGAGCGTGCTAACAGATAAATTAAGCTTCTGAACTCCCCCAGCATGAACAAGGACTGCTGGAGTTACAGGACTCTACTAGCCAATGTCTTCCTTACTGACCAATATGACTCTCTTCAGAGCCAAACTAATGGAGTTCTACATAACAAGGAATGAGAGCAATTAGAAAAAAACCAGCAAAGCTCACTGTATTGGGTTTGTGTGGGAAGGTTTTGGTA